CCCCTGTCCCTCCCCCTCTTATCCCCCCCTGTACCCTCCCCTCTCCCCACCACCCCAAGACCTCCCTCCTCCACCAATCTCCCCGTGCAGTTCACCCCAGCTCCCACTCACCCCAGATCTCAAAGGTTCCCCCCAGAAAAGAAGCAGAAGAGAGTCAGTTTCAGGGTGATGTACTCGAACATAGATGGGATCACAAGCAAGACAAGTGAACTAAGGGAAAGAGCACAAGAAGTTAACCCAGATGTAATCGGACTCACTGAAACAAAACTCTCTGGAATCATAACGAATGCCGTGTTTCCCAGGAGTACACAGTAATAAGGAAAGAGAGGGAAGGTAGGGAGGAGGCAGAGGGCCCTACTCATGAGAAGGGAATGGAGTTTTAAGGAGATGACCATCCTGGGCTTTGAGGAGTTCAGAGACTACATAGCAGGCACCATAACAATGGGAGGACCAAGAATAGTAGTAGCAGTAATATACAACCCTCCACCAAATGACAGGAGACCCAGTCAAGAGTATGAAAACAACAACAAGGCAGTTAACACTATAATTGAGAGGGCAGCCTCTGCTGCCTGTAGAAATAGATCCCACCTGCTCATCATGGGCGACTTCAATCACGGAAAGATTGACTGGGAGAACAAGGAACTGCATGGAGGCGAGGATACGTGGAGAGCCAAACTATTGGAGGTGGTGACAAGCAACTTTTTAACCCAGCATGTCGGAGAACCCACAAGGATGAGAGGCAATGACGAACCAGCGAGACTCGACCTAGTCTTCACTCTGAACGACTCCGACATAAGAGAAATCGGTTTTGAGGACCCAGTAGGAATGAGCGACCACAGTGTACTGGTGTTTGAGTGCTTGATTGAAGAAGGGTTGTTGAACTCGAGGAGGGATACCGAAACCAAAAGGTTAGCATACCGAAAGGGAAACTATGAGGGGATAAGAAAATTCCTAACAGATATAGCAAGGGGAAACAGAGCTCAGGGGAAAGACGGCCCAAGATATGATGGATTACATCACGCAGAAGTGCAAGGACACAGCAAACAAGTTTGTCCCAGTCCAAAAGGAAAACAGAAATGAAGATGAAAAACCCATGGTTTAATCAAAGATGTAGGCTAGCTAAGCAGCAAAGTAAAAGGGCATGGAGAAACTATAGGAATAACAGGACACTGGAGAGCAGAGAAAGATACTAGAATGCCAGGAATGAATATGTCAGGATGAGAAGAGAGGCAGAAGGACAATACGAAAATGACATGGCAAGCAAGGCAAAGACTCAGCCTAAATTGTTGCATAGCCACATTAGGAGAAAAACAACAGTAAAGGAACAGGTTATGAGATTAAGGATAGGGGCGGAAGGATTCACTACAAATGACAAGGAAGTGTGTGAGGAATTGAATAAGAAATTCCAGGAGGTCTTCACCTTAGAGCAAGGAGAAATTCCAGAGGTAAATGAGGGAATAGCTAACCAGGAACCACTGGAAGAGTTTGAGATTACCAGTGGGGAAGTAAAGAAGTGTTTACTAGAGTTGGACGTGACGAAGGCTATAGGCCCAGATGGAATCTCCCCTTGGGTTCTAAAGGAAGGAGCAAGAGAACTGTGCCTACCACTCTCCATAGTGTATAACAAATCACTGGCAACAGGGGAACTGCCAGATATTTGGAAAGCAGCTAACGTAGTCCCGATATACAAGAAAGGGGATAGACAGGAGGCACTGAACTACAGGCCAGTGTCCCTAACCTGCATACCAGGCAAGCTGATGGAGAAGATTGTGCGAAAAAAACTAGTGGAGCATCTGGAGCGAAGGAACTTTGTAACACAGCATCAACATGGGTTCAGGGATGGCAGGTCCTGCCTCACAGGGTTACTTGAATTCTACGACCAGGCAACAAAAATAAGGCAAGAAAGAGAAGGGTGGGCAGACTGCATATTTTTGGATTGTCAGAATGCCTTTGATACAGTGCCACACAAGAGGCTAGTGCGAAAGTTGGAGATGCAGGCTGGAGTGAGAGGGAAGGTACTCCGGTGGATACAGGAGTACCTAAGCAACAGGAGACAACGAGTCTGTGTGAGGGGTGAGGTCTCAGATTGGCGAGACGTCACAAGTGGAGTCCCGCAGGGATCAGTCCTTGGACCTATACTGTTTCTGGTATATGTAAATGATCTCCCAGAGGGTATAGATTCGTTCCTCTCAATGTTTGCCGACGATGCAAAAATTATGAGGAGGATTGAAACAGCGGATGATAGTAGGAGGCTACAAGATGACCTGGATAGACTGAGTGAATGGTCCAACAAATGGCTGTTGAAGTTCAACCCGAGTAAATGCAAGTAATGAAACTAGGCAGTGGAAACAGGAGGCCAGGCACAGGAAACAGAATAGGAGATGAAGTACTTAATGAAACAGACAGAGAGAAAGATCTAGGAGTTGATATCACACCAAACCTGTCTCCTGAAGCCCACATAAAGAGAATAACGTCTGCGGCATATGCGAGGCTGGCTAACATCAGAACGGCGTTCAGGAACCTGTGTAGGGAATCATCAGAATCTTGTACACCACATATGTAAGACCAATCCTGGAGTATGCGGCCCCAGCATGGAGCCCGTACCTTGTCAAGCACAAGACGAAGCTGGAAAAAGCCCAAAGGTATGCTACTAGACTAGTCCCAGAACTAAGAGGCATGAGTTATGAGGAAAGGCTGCGGGAAATGCACCTTACGACACTGGAAGACAGAAGAGTAAGGGGGGACATGCTCATAACCTACAAAATCCTCAGGGGAATCGACCGGTTAAACAAGGATGAACTATTCAACGCTGGTGGGACGCGAACAAGGGGACACAGGTGGAAGCTGAGTACCCAAATTAGCCACAGAGACGTTAGAAAGAACTTTTTCAGTGTCAGAGTAGTTAGTAAATGGAATGCATTAGGCAGTGATGTGGTGGAGGCTGACTCCATACACAGTTTCAAATGTAGATATGATAGAGCCCAATAGGCTCAGGAATCTGTACACCAGTTGATTGACGGTTGAGAGGCGGGACCAAAGAACCAGAGCTCAACCCCCGCAAGCACAATTAGGTGAGTACATACCTGGTGGCTGAGTGGACAGCACTTGGGATCCGTAGTCATGTGGACCGGGGATCCATCCTCGGCGATGGCGAAACAAATGGGCAGAGTTTCATTCACCCTAATGCCCATGTTACCTAGCATTAAATAGGTACCTTGGAGTTAGACAGCTGTTACGGGCTGCTTCCTGTCTGTGTGTGTGTGAAACAAAAAAATATAATAATAATTAATCGCTGATAGACTGACATTTGAGAGGGGGGCCGAAGGAGTCAGAGTTCGACCCTCGGAATCACAACTAGGTGAGTACAACTACGTGAGTACAACAAGGTGAGTACACACACACACAGCTAGGTAAGTACACACTTACTGGATTAATAGGTACCTGGGAGTTAGACAGGTGCTTCGGGCGGCTTCTTGGGGATGTGTGTGTGTGTGTGTGTGTTAGAGAGAAATATATGTAGTGTACATATTAGAAGATAAATAGATTGGTTAGAAAATCCGGTTCCAAGAGCTAATACCTCGATTCTGCAGGCACAAAAATAGTAAATACTCAAACACACACACACAGGCCCTGGCTGCCGAGAGAACAGTGAGCGGGGGTCGTAGTCATAAGGACCCGGGTTTGATTCCAAGTCCAGGCAAAAACAAATGAACAGTTTCCTTCACCTGATAACCCTGTTTACCTAGCAGTAAATATGCACATGGGAGTAAGACAGCTGCTATGGGATGCTCCCTGGGGATGTTTATGTATGTGTGAGAAAGAAATATATGTAGTAGATAAGTTAAAGGGGAAAGTAGGTAGAGAGTCAGCAGAATAGACAACCATCAGTTAGATAAGCAGGGTCCTAGAGCTAACAGCTCGATCCTTCAGGCACAAGTAGTAAATACAAATAATAAATTCACAGACTCACTTATACACACACAGCAACGGCTAGAAAGGCAGGCGTCCGAGACCTAGAGCTCGATCTTGCAGGCACAAATAGGTGAGTACACAAACATCATCTATCACTTCCGCTCACTCTTTATCACTGTCAAACAGTTTCTACATCTTTCTATCTCTGTATTACAATTTGCTCACTCACCCACGATCTGTCTCCAACATATTTATCCCTGCATCCTCGACACCATGACTGAGAAGAGAAAATACATTATGGGCAGAAAGTATTTTATAAGGGAACAGTAAAGGAGAATAACGCAGAAAAGGCAATAGAGAGAGCAAAAATTCGAATTTCATGGGAGCAAGAAGACATGATGGAGCTTTAAAAACCAAGGGAGAACTCGGTCAAAAGTTAGAATGAAATGATAACTCAAATGAAAGATGACAGCAGAGGAAGTAATTGTGAGGTTTGAGGATAAATATAAAACATTGGAGAAGAGTTTCAGAACCATTGAGGAAGAGCTGAGGAAAAACTATGTTACAGGGTTTAGCACAGTATTGTGGAGAATACGATACCATTTGGTGGGTAAAATACAGCAGTTAAATGCAAGCTGAAAAATTAAGGTTGGGATTTGAATGAGTAGAATCCAAACCAATGGGGCATGCAGGAATGGCCTATAGGAGAAGCTGGAGCAATTGATGCTACATCGGAAAGTCTGAGCCCTGAGACTCTCCAAAATTCTGATAAACGAGGGAGGCAGGGAGTCCCGTAGATGCCGTGCATACTATTTATAAGGTTTCGTAGCCACAAATTTCAAGAAGTTATGAGGTTCACTTTAAGGTAGATAGTTTCTTGTCTGACTTCCTTATAATGTCAAGCATGTGACTTTTCATGGTCATTCAAGAGTCAAACTTCTGTGTCAAGATGTCAACTTCGTCACTGGACACTAGGGTTTTTCACTCATTTGTATATCTCTCCCATTTTCAGTATCATTCTGCCTAGTTATAACATCGCCTGTGTTTATTTTGCAGTAACTGTAACTTGACATCGCCTTCCAAAGATAGATAGTGCTAAAAGGTTGCGATAAATGATCCTCATAGCAGTTGGTATATATATTCTGTTTTATATGTTAAGGTCAGAGTGCAGTCATCATAGTCATGAGCTTCAAGGATGAGGTGTAGAAGATCATTGAAATAGACATTCGATAACAAAGGGCCAAGCACACTGTCCTGCAGAACACTGGCACCAATTTAGGGGGTTTCAGATCCTGCTTAATTAAAGAATACACTAAGAGTCTGTTCTTGAAGATATCCCCTAATTAGCAGTAAAGTGGAACCTGAACTACCATGATTAAAGCTTCGCTAGTAGTCCTGCATGCAAAGCCTACCAAAGGTTAATGCAATGTCCAGTGCAACAACTCAACTTAATTGGGAATCATTCAGTGCCAGATGCCACTTAGTGGAGAGGTTTAGTAAGAGGTATTGGACAACAACTACTAAGAACGGAGTACCAGAAAATATTACTTCCCAGAAGCCGACGGGATCACTTATGGCACAATAATTCAGCAACACAATCACACAAATTATAGTGACAAAACTCATACCTACTGCTCAAGTGGGGACAGTTGTGCTGTTCGCTGGGTAAGATTGCTTCTCTCTACTTCCTCAACTGCGTTTGAATATTTACTTCAACTCGGGAAGGAGGAAATATTTAGTCAGATCATTCTAGGATCTTATTAATTATAATTTAATAAAAATATTAAATAAATTAATTGCACCTAAGCTATGTTTAAAAACTATTTAATGAGAATAGTTAGTTTTAATAATTCATTTGTTGACTGTGTAGACATGGATATAATATGTTACAGGGATTTCATCATCGCTTAGATTTATCTACATAAGATAACAAAAATAATTATACATAATCCTTCTGGTTCATGGTTATCAATAAAATGTAATAGATGTAATTTAAGGTGGAATTATTTAAATGTGGAATTTCCCACATATTTTTGAAGGGGAAAAACATGAGTCGGAGTCTACTGTTTAGGAATGACTTAACACTTTATTGCTCCTCATTACAATTATTATAATATTTCTTTAATATGTGATTGCACTGTTGTGCAGCAATATGTACAGGACGTGCAGCAGTATGTACAGGACGTGCAGCAGTATGTACAGGACGTGCGGCAGTATGTACAGGACGTGCGGCAGTATGTACAGGACGTGCAGCAATATGTACAGGACGTGCGGCAGTATGTACAGGACGTGCAGCAATATGTACAGGACGTGCGGCAGTATGTACAGGACGTGCAGCAGTATGTACAGGACATGCAGCAGTATGTACAGGACGTGCGGCAGTATGTACAGGACATGCAGCAGTATGTACAGGACGTGCGGCAGTATGTACAGGACGTGCAGCAATATGTACAGGACGTGCGGCAGTATGTACAGGACGTGCGGCAGTATGTACAGGACATGCAGCAGTATGTACAGGACGTGCGGCAGTATGTACAGGACGTGCAGCAATATGTACAGGACGTGCAGCAGTATGTACAGGACGTGCGGCAGTATGTACAGGACATGCAGCAGTATGTACAGGACGTGTGGCAGTATGTACAGGACGTGCAGCAGTATGTACAAGACGTGCAGCAGTATGTACAGGACATGCAGCAGTATGTACAGGACGTGCGGCAGTATGTACAGGACGTATGACCCCAAATTGGAGTAGTGGGAACTTGAGGTCTCTCAAAGACTTCCTTTCCTGTGAACCCCAATGCTAGTAATTTCTCAAGTGTCTTGAGTCAATTAGTCCCTTTGCACTTTACCCTTACTATCCTCAAGGTTCCCTGGCATCCTGGGTGAAAAGAAACAACACGCCTATAGGCCACTCTGAGCGTGGGTAGTCGCTGTCCACCAGAAAAGCATCACCAGGTTGTAGTTTGATTTCATTGTACGGGTGAAGAAGTTGCACCAAACAAAACTGATGCAAATCAATATATATATGTCATTCACTATTGGGATAATTGGAATCCCTTAACCAAGAAATTTAGTACAGTCTCTATCCTCTTCCTCTTGGAGGCCTTCTTAATGTCGGTGGTATATGCATAAACTACCAAATGGAATTTTAACAGAACATCATATAGCCTCTGTGTTAGGCTGGGGCCTGTTTGTAGGCAATCATGCGATATTATTTGTTTTTTCTTTGCACTGCAATTAAAGACTATTCTCAGTGGTGTGTTGGTTGAGGCTTTCTGTACTGCAGGGTGTGGCAAATCGTGTCCCTTCTTAGGGTTATCGTTTTGATTGACTTCGATGAAGTTATTATTTAAACAGTTCGAGATGCCCTGGATTTTGTTGTAATTTCAACACCCAAGATCTCAACTGATTTAGTGTCGTGAACTTAGTGGGAATTGTGGGTGATTAATGCATCACAGAAGTCAGACCCAGAATTAGTTATCTTTGTAGACTACTAAACCCAGATATTGTTGATAGGTCCTAGCATCATCTAGGCATGGTTGTTCAGGAACAATGCCTAAAGTGACCAGATCCCATAATTTATGTACAGGGGGATCAAGCTCATCTTCAGTCATGCTGGTGAATGGCATGTACTGGACGGATATAACCACCCAATCGTACAAGAGGTTGTACCATCAGGTAGGTTTGAACACACAGGTTACAAACCTGGGTCACAGGTTTGAATTGAAGATCTGCTACTTGTTCAGTCACAAATGTCTTCTTGGACCCTTGATGAAATAACACTCGGATATAGATCGTACTCTCTTTATTAGTTAAAGTTAATTGAGCGATGGGCAGCAACCCATCCTCAGGGTCCCAAAGGACTCCTGAGGCTTATTGCTTATAGGCTGCTTGATTAACAGTTCCTCTGTGATATACTCAAGGCTCCGGCACAACCAGGCCGCCCTCTTGAGATACCTCTTAACCACAAGGCTGCCTCCCCTCTGGCCACCTCCCAGCTTTCCCAACCTGCCTGCCAGCTAGCCTACCAGCTTGCCTACCAGCTAGCCTACCAGCTTGCCTACCAGCTAGCCTGCCTACTAGCTAGCCTGCCAGCTAACCTGTCAGCCAGATATGTCTGGCACATCCTTCAAGGAGTGCCAAACATATCCCGTAGACTAAGAGCAAAATGGCTAATAACCCGAAACTTCATTCTTGTTGTTGACCAGACCACACACTAGAAGTTCTGATCTCCAACAGTCCTTGGGCCAAATACTCTCTCTCTGACTGTGTTACCAACCTTTCGTCCTACTCTCTTTCTAAGCACCAGCAAGAACTTCTTGGTCTTGGTCTGTCTTTTGCTACTTCCCCTGGCCCACGCTGTGGCATTGATCTCATTAGTTCCTTTGACAGGTTTGTCAATTCTAACTCTAGTACTCTTTCGGACCTGTCTGCCTTTAGAGGGGCCCTTATCCCCGTTCTTGACAGCTTGTTTCTAAAAATAACCACCTTCCTCGTCGCTTCCAGCTTGCCCTTGCCTCACTAAAATCTAACAACTCTATTCTTATCCTTTCTTCCGACAAAGGCAATTCGGTGGTTGTCCTTGACCGTGAGGACTACCTCCGAAAAGCAGATGGCTTGCTCTCTGACTCTCGCACTTATGCTCCTCTGACTTCTAACCCTTTGGATCGCCTCAAAACTTCCTTTAACCGCAAACTAAGACAGCTCTCTAGTCTTTGCCCTCCTGACTTTGACCTCATTAAACGTTTCCGTGTAATCTGCCCTTCTCTTCCATATTTCTATGGTCTTCCTAAGACTCATAAACCTGGTGTTCCTCTTCGTCCTATCATTTCTTCACGGGGCTCTGTCAGCTATCCTCTTGCCTCCTGGCTCGCTAAAACCCTGACACCTTACCTTGGCACTTTTTCCCCTGCCCACCTTCGTCACTCTCAGGACTTCATAGAAAGACTGCGCCTGCAACCCTCTTGTAAGATGCTTAGTCTTGATGTCGACTCTCTGTTCACTAATGTTCCGCTCGATGACGTTCTCTCTTTCCTTAGACAGAAGGCGTCCGAGGGCCTCCTTCCTCTCCCTCTTCCACTGACGTTTTCCTCGATCTCATTAGACTCTGTGTTGAATCTAACTCTTTCTCTTTCAACGGTAAATATTACACTCAAACTTTCGGTGTCGCTATGGGTTCCCCTCTCTCCCCTGTTCTTGCTAATTTCTACATGGAATACTTCGAAACTGTTCTTCCTTCTATTGATACTCGTCCCTCTCTCTGGCTTCGCTATGTTGATGACATTTTGCTTTATGGCCTCATGACCTTAATTTTTTCCAGCCTTTCCTCGCCTCTCTTAACAATCTGGCTCCTTCTATCCATTTCAAAGTTGAGTGGGAATCTAATTCCCTCCTTCCTTTTCTTGATGTTCATGTTCACAGCTCTGTGTCTGGGTTCTCTTTCTCTGTCTACCGTAAACCCATGCATAGTGGCATGTACATTCACTTCTTTTCCTACCATCCTCCTTCTGTTAAGAAAAGTGTCCTCGTCTCTCTCTTCCTCCGCGCTCTACGCATCAGCGACCCTCAGTTCTTGATTCTGAAATTGCCTTTATCTACAAATCATTCTCTCGCCTTGGTTATCCTTTGCATTTCATCAACTGTGCCTACTCTCAAGCTAAACGAAATTTCTTTCATCCTAAACCTGCTTCCAAACACTAGTAGCACTGTACTATGCCTTCCCTTCATATCTGAACTCAAAACTTTTACCAATACCTTTCGTCCTCTTGACATTAAACTCGCCTTTCGACAAACTAACACTCTTCGTAGTAATCTAGTTCACACTGCTCCTCCTGCTTCTAATGCTGCTGGTGTCTACTCTATTTCCTGTTCTTCTTGTCCTCTCCAATACTTTGGCGAAACTGGCCGTACACTGAATGACAGACTTAAAGAACACAAGAGAAGTGTTAAGTCTGCAGACACTAACAATGCTCTCTTCTGCCATGTGAGGGATTCTAATCATCCCATTGATTGGTCTTCCTCCAAAATAATCTTTCCTGCCTCTACTCTACACAGACGCCGTCTTGTAGAATCGGCTCTTATACACAATGTACCCAACATGAACTTGAGTCCTGGCTTTGTTGCTGTGGACTCTTCCCTTTCACAGTATACACTCAAATGCTCTAATCTTTCCAACAAACGTGACTTAACATAAGCTTACCCCTTCCATTTATCTTTCTC